AAAGATGAACAAACACAGACAGAAAGTGGTGAAAAACGATAGAAGCACAGAAAACACAAGACCTCGGTGTCCAGAGCAGTGCTGTCTGCAGAAGAGAAGCAGAAAGACAGAGAGGAACGTTAGAAATAACAGCACATATTGACTCCTTTATCTATAAATAACTGCACACACTTATAATGACTTGTGCCTAATGGAGCCAAACAAATAGTGCCAGCACAGCTCATTTACGATATCTCAGCCAGAGAATAATCCCTGCTACACACACACAAACACACACACGCAAACCTTGAGACAATATATCATGTTTCTCTCATACTACACCAGCCATATAACGCTGTAAAAGCCTGCGGTGTCCAGCACAGAGAGACCGCTCATGTTTATTTAAATACACTTCAGACAATCAATATCCAAACATGATTTCTGCCAAATTATGGGCAGATTCAAACCTCAGAGATGAGGTTGCACTGATGACCATTACTGACTCTGATTTCTCATATTACAGTAGATCATCCTCCTTCAGTCGGTCTCAAAGATCACCTCAGATGCTTTAATGTCGCTCAAGTGTTTAAATATAATGGCAATGATTAGTTCAGCTTTAGTGCGATAGCTTCACAGCTCGCTGGGCCATGAACGATAAAAGTGAGTTCTCAGAGACATCAGAGGTCAATAAACGCACGTAGAAGCTGAGAAGAACAGCCGTGGAGCTTAAATCTAGCTGGTTAATAGAGTGGAGACGAGGATGGTCAAACAGAGTATTGATTAAATCTTTCCTGTTGGGCTTATGAAGGGTTACTCGTCCCTTCTGTAGTGCTCAGACCATCCTTCAGTGTCAGAGAAACACTAAACTGAGGACTAACCGGTATATATTTGGGTGTTTTATTGGCCTGTTTGTTCCAAATCGATTTTATGGCAACCAAAATTTGTATTTTTTTTTATTTAACAACGAATCAAAATATATCTAGGTTACAAAAATCAAAAGAATATACATTACCAGTCAAAAGTTTTTGAACAGTAAGATTCAAGATTCTCTTCTGCTCACCAAGCCTGCATTTATTTGATCCAAAATACAGCAAAAGCAGTAATATTGTGAAATATTTTTTACTATTTCAAATAACTGCTTTCTATTTGAATATATTTTAAAATGTAATTTATTCCTGTGATTTCAAAGCTGAATCTTTAGCATCATTACTTCAGAAATAATTCTAATACTCTGATTTGCTGCTCAAAAAACATTTATTATTATTATTATTATTATTATCAAAAATAAAAAAATATAAAATATTTATATCAAATTAATAATATGTATATAAAACATATATAAATATTTCAATTTTTCTATAAATTTTTTTATTGATTTTTAACAAGTCAACATGCTTTTTAAAATGAAATTAAGACCCATAAAACTGTTAAGAAAATGAAAATGACTAAATTACAATGATTAAAATCACCATTACAGTAATGACTATTTGTATTAATAATATTAATAATTTAAATTGTTTTTAAAGGTGATTAGAATTACCGCAATATTTTAAATTCAAATATTTACTTGAAATAATATTTTTAATCTCACATTTAGGTCCAGAACGAACACTTCATAGGATACATCATCAATTCCTGACCATATTTTGCTTGTAGAATATGCTGTTTCACTCAGAAATATGTCAAATTACTGAAGTAAAATGGGTTATAAATGAAAAAATCACATATAGGCATAAAGAGAATAAAAAGTTCTTATTTTGACTGATTTTAAATATTGCCAGGTCTCATTAAATTGACCCTTAAAACAAGATCACACAGTGTCCACGGTCTCTGAAATCTATCCATTTTGTGGACGGCTGAAATGCTGCAGAATATATATGCACTGAGGGATTTCTCAGACGAATTAAATTTCCTTTTAGATTTCTTGGTCAGTGACAGAGACAAAATGAGATGAATAATTTGGCTGTGGTTCTCAAGGCTAAAACATATCCGGCCTGTGAGAGAGGTGACGGAAAAGCTCCTTCACTCATTAGGATCAGTGGCCTGTTTCCACTGAGCTCTGGCTAAATGCATCACTTTCATTAATTATGTCTTTCTGAAAACAAACTGCAGGTAGAAAATATCCCTGTTTTGCACCATTTAAATAATAAAACTAAAATATTATGACATAGTTCCCAATAAAACAGACGGCTTATATATTGTAACATGTTAGATTCTGCTAAAACATAATGAAAAACATTTATCCTGTGGACTGATAAATCGTGCAGAACATTTCTTGAAGCAAATATGGTCCTTAATCTAAAACCTAAATCGACATTTGCAATGCACTTTAATTATTTATTCCATAATTGGATATATTTCCTTGTGAAACTGAGATTAGGTGTAGTATTGGAGCAAGTTATTGCATTTTAATGATTTGTTTTTTATTCATTTTTACATTAGAACAACATGCACTGATGCATCATTTACCAGAATATGTTTCAATAAAGTAAACAGGGTCAGATTAGATTTTTCTTGACTTTCGTGTCCATCTCTATGAAGAATTTTCCTAATACAGTCATAATCCTCGATTATTGAAATGCAATGCAAATGTAGAGCAATGGAAATCTGGGGCAGCTGCAGAACTGATGTATGTTTGTGGGTTTGAACAGTCAATAAAGACATTTCTATCTTAAAATATGAAAAGAGGATAGGAAACCTTCTAAACAAACATCACGTTTTTAAAATCCGCTGTGATCTAAATAAAATATTCAGAGAACGGATAGACTACTTTCAGTCAGCTGACCTCGATGGATCAGAGCGGAAATATAAAATGGATATAATAAACACGTGAAGCGAGGAGTGCCGGCTCGCACCGCTACTCTCAGAACAAGACTGATATAAGAGTCCCAACAACGCTGACCTGGTTAGCAAGTGCCCTTGGGAGGAGGAATTAGCATGTGAATGCAGTTCAGCCTAGAACTAAATGAAGATGGGTTTGGCAGGAAGAACTAATCCTAAGAGACCTCACTGTAAAAGACTCCTAAAATGTGCAGCCCTGCTTTTACAACTGAACCAAAACAGCCACGACACTCAGAGCCCCTGCATGACGGTTCCTCGTTTTATGCAAATGATTTCTGATCTGCGTTCTTTAATTAGTCGAGGAGAAAATGAGAGCTCAGAAATTAAATTGGCTGTGTGAAAACAAGGAGCTAAATACCAGCACCACTGAACTGAAGAATATTTCTGTGTTTTCATCAAGGAGGATAAACCTGGAGAGCTTTGTTTTTGTCCCTTTTAGCTTTGTTAATGAAAAATACATTTAAACAAAAAATGCAAAATATTAAAAATGTGTCCCTGGACCACAAAACCAGTCTTACATTGCATGGGTATGTTTGTAGCAATAGCCAAAAAATTATAGATTTTTCTTTTATGCCAAAAATCATTAGAATATTATAAAGATCATGTTCCATGAAGATATTTTGTAAATGTCCTACCGTAAATATATCAAAACTTAATTTTTGATTAGTAATATGCATTGCTAAGAACTTCATTTGGACAACTTTAAAGATGATTTTCTCAATATTTCGATTTTTTTGCACCCTCAGATTCCAGATTTTCAAATATTTTCCTATCCTAACACGCACCTAATACATCAATGGAAAGCGTATTTATTCAGCTTTCAGATGTTGTATAAATCTCAATTTCGAAAAATTGACACTTAAGACTGGTTTTGTGGTCCAAGGGTCACAAATGTCCTGAAAAAAATTATAAATAATTTATATTTTATACAATAAATATACTTTAATACAGGCACGTGCACAAGTAGGGCTTAAGAGAACAGGTAGCACATGCCCCTTTTGCCCTTACACTCCGAAGGGCCTTTTTTTTTTTGGTGGTAGTGGTGGTGTTTTTTTGTTTGTTTTTTTCTTTTTCAATAAATCAACACTGTTGGATTACCCTGTCAGTCAAACCTCATAACTCCACCCCCTCTATATTGACTGAATGAACTGAAGTTCTGCAGCAGCTGAACAAAATCTTGCCAGGGTAAATAAAGATCTTGTTGTTTGAATAAATACATAGAGACACTGTGTCTATAAAGGCTCATATTTTATGTATTTGAGGTCTGAGACATGTGGGACTGGAGAGAGATGGCTGGCATTTGCCATCTAGTCATAGCTGATAGCCTACACTTAAATAGCCTTGCATACAGTAGCATTTCATCTTTTATAAAATACAACAAACAACAACAAACTAAAAGCTACAACAAACTTTGTAACCTGTTGATGAAAACGTAACGTGATGCTGCCATTTTAATGAAGGAAAAAATGCACATTTAAATTTATATATATATATATATATTTGTATATAGGATTAGGAGGGGAGAGCTCTGGCACAATTCAAACTTATACTTTTCACAATATTTTATAAATGTTTTCATTGCTGGCTTATTTTAGGGAAAACAAAATGCACATTTAAATTTATATATATATATATATATATATATATATTTGTATATAGGATTAGGAGGGGAGAGCTCTGGCACAATTCAAACTTATACTTTTCACAATATTTTATAAATGTTTTCATTGCTGGCTTATTTTAGGGAAAATGTAGTGAATAAGAGACCTTCAAGAGACCAGTATCCCTGGTCCTTCACAGTATCAAGTTTTTGCCAGGCAGGTAGATACATGTTGGATATGTAAGGAATAATTGACGACGGGCCGTTGAATTAGCCTTTTCCACACTTCCGTGTTTCTGGCTTCCGGACTGGCGCTCGCAGGGTAACGAGAATTCGAGAATCAAAGTCTTTTTATACAAATTGCCGGTACTTTACTCTACAAAGCGCAAACATTTCACAATTAACTTTTTGCGTCAGCTCGGGTCATCAAATACAAGTTTATTTCATTCTAAATGGTAGCAGTTATAATGCTTTTCTTACTTAGATTTTTTGTCTTGTTCCAGCCAAAATATCTAAAAATTTCAGAAAAAAAGTCAAAATTAAGCTTTTGCTTGAAACAAGCAAAATAATCTTACTTCAACAGGAAACAAGATTATTTTGCTTCCCCCATTGGCAGGTTTGGTTGGTTGTTTTTTTTCTGAAAACAAGACAATAATCCTTCTTTTTTTCGCTATTATTTTTATTATTATTAAAGTAACATTGTATTTTCTACTTACTCTCCCTTGCATTATTAATGTGATGCTTTAAATGTACATTGCATAATGTGCCCTGGGAAATACATATTAAACGAAAGATGACTCCGATTCATGACATTCCTGTATCGGATTAAGTTGTTGTGTTGAGTTTAATATGCTTCAACCTAACTCAGTTAAAATTGTTTAATGTATTGGAAAAATGTGCATAAATGTTGTCATTTTTAAGTACTGGTAGTTTATCATGATGTGGTGATTCGAGGGAAATGACTGAGTAAATTGAGATAATACGCTCAAATGTACCGGAGATCAAAGACTAGCCTATTTAAAAAGGGATGTCCATCTGAAACCATCTGGCGCTATGTTGAGCGTATTATCTCACGAGTCAGCGGTGAGAGGCATATGAGTGACAAACAAATAAAATGTTATTTCTTTGTAGATTATATAACAACTTAGAAAACAGACAAAACAGAAAAGGTAAGAAGCATTATTTGAGAAATTTGAGGGCATACTAATATAACAGGTGCTGACCTGTAACAGAACTAACTTTACCCTGCGCTGACGTCATTTCCGATTTTTAAGAAAAAGGCTAATCCCTAGAAAATAATGCACACCCGAGGCCGTTACCTCTCAGGGGTGCATTATTTTCTAAGAATTCAACGTACCAAAGTCAATTATTCCGCTTATACTACGGTTACCACCATTTGTGGCTTGTGTTTTAGGGAATCAGAATCCACTAAAGTACACAGAGCATCTGGCTGTTAGCATGAATGAGCAGCCTAAATACAGTATCCCTACAGTACTCAGCATTGTGGAGTGCGGCGCTGGGTTTGCCGTGTGCCATGACTGTGATTCTCACATCTAGGTCAAGAGTGCTTTCGGTGTGAGTAAGACTGGGTGGAAATTCCCCTGATTCCTGACTGGCTGTAAAGGAAACTCTGCTTTTGTGGGGTAACCTGCTAGCATAGCCACGTTTCAGCTGTTACCAACAGCGAATCCTTTTAGTCATTCCATTAATCATATATTGACATTTGTTTACAAACTAATAGCATGTCCATATTAGCATTTATAGGGTAAACTGACTTTGAAAACACATTTGAGACTTTTGTTCTGCTGAAATAAAATGCTAAAACTGTTAATAAAACATGCCTGCAGAGGACAAGGTTACCACCATTTGTGGCTTGTGTTTTAGGGAATCAGAATCCACTAAAGTACACAGAGCATCTGGCTGTTAGCATGAATGAGCAGCCTAAATACAGTATCCCTACAGTACTCAACATTGTGGAGTGCGGCGCTGGGTTTGCCGTGTGCCATGACTGTGATTCTCACATCTAGGTCAAGAGTGCTTTCGGTGTGAGTAAGACTGGGTGGAAATTCCCCTGATTCCTGACTGGCTGTAAAGGAAACTCTGCTTTTGTGGGGTAACCTGCTAGCATAGCCACGTTTCAGCTGTTACCAACAGCGAATCCTTTTAGTCATTCCATTAATCATATATTGACATTTGTTTACAAACTAATAGCATGTCCATATTAGCATTTATAGGGTAAACTGACTTTGAAAACACATTTGAGACTTTTGTTCTGCTGAAATAAAATGCTAAAACTGTTAATAAAACATGCCTGCAGAGGACAAATTCAACCAAAAATAAAATTACACATATGCACATATTCAAATGTGGTGCATGCACAAGTAGAACCAAAGCTATTTGCTCTCATTGACATCAACCCTGGCCTGATCTGAAATTAAATTTGAGAGCTACGATGGTGGGCATGATTTCTAGTGAGTAACGACTTGAATTTCAGTACTTCACTCACACAAAGCTATTGTATGACATTAGAAGAAATGTAAACAAGTCAAACGGACAACTTTTATGATGCCTTTTTGGACAACCAATGATAAATGTACGCTTCTGCCGAATGGGAAGGTGCTGAATGGAAAAGCATTGTCAAATTGTCTCTTTTCATGTTGTGCGATAAAAAAAAAATCCAGGTTTGGAATGACAGTGACAGTAAATGATGAAAAGAACATTATTATATGAGTGAACTGTTCCTTTCAAAATAAATGCTTAAATATAAATAGAATTGTTGATTGGACTCTCTAAGTTTAATGAAGGCCACAAAAGGTGAAGTACACTTTTATCTGAACTCTGAGGCAGTGACAACCACACACACGCACACACAAAATCAATCGCCAATTCTAACCACTCAACATCAAATATTAGTAATCATCATCTTGCCCTTCACAACAACCCTGGGGTGTCATGAACCAAGACCTCATGTTTGGACAACGGTGGATCTCAAATGACTCAATCAATGGTTCACCAACCAAAGCCATAACTAAAACCCATCAAGACAACTATAATAAGCTAACATATAAACTAGTTGGCTCATACCTCCTGCCAGGATCTGCTGTTCCAGCTCAGCCATCTGCTTCCGGTAAGCTCTCAGCGCCACCTCTTTGAAGGAGGGACGTATCCTTTTTTGGGGTGGTGCTTCTTGCACGGGAACCTCTGTAACATTTTTGTTCTCATCCTCTTGTTCTACAGTCTTTTTTACCTCATCTGCTCCCTTCGTTTCTGATATTTCTTGATCTTCCTGCACCTCCTCCTTACTCTCCTCCTGTTCCTCGGCCTCTGCTTCCGGTTCCTCGGTTTCTTCCACGTAATCCACCAAACTCACCTCATACTCCGCCGTGTCTTCGGTCATGGGATTGTCGTCATACTCCTCACTGTATTCCTCATCAAGGCTGCAGTCATATTCTAGCACGAGGTTACCCTCTTGTGAGATGTCATACTCTTGCGAGACGTCGTATTCCTCATCTTGGTTCTGTTCCTCAGCCTCGTTTGTGTTTGTTCTGTTTTCCAGATTGGCTAGGACTTGTTCCATCACCTCAACGTAATGTGTCTCATTGTCCACAGGTTGTTCAGCAGGTTGTTCTTCCTCTTCTGCCTTGTAATAGAAAGGATCTGTGTAGACATCTGAGTCAATGGTTGTGCTGGAGCTGTTTGCTGTGGACTGGGACATGGTCCTGAACCTACCCATGAATGAGGTGTTGCTCGGTTCTTCAATCGGGGCACTAGTGCTTTGAGAGCCTTTATTCCACACGAAATCCAAAGCTGACTTTGCTCTTTGCAGGGTGGATCCAAATCCTCCAAAGCTGAAGGTTTTTTCGCTGAGGTCTATGCTGAGCCTGCTACTCCAGGATTTGGGGTCTTCCTCCACTTTCTCACTTCTGATCTCACTCTGGCTCCGGTACATGGAGGAAGATTTCTGGCTCTGCTGGAGGTGGTTCACATCATGTCGCTGCAAAGTTTGTGGAGCTGATTCAGGCTTAGCTTGGATCTTCTTGGTCTTGGGCTTCTTTTCAGGTTGCGGTTCCACTGCAGGTTTAAGTACTGGTTCTGGTATGGGTTCAATCACAGCCTCTGGTTCTGGTTCTGGTTCTGGCATTTGTTCTGGTTCTGGCTCAGGTTCTAAAAATTCAGGTTCTATATCTATATCTTGATCTTGGCCCGTGTCAGGAGTGCTATCTAGTGTCAAAAAGGTCTCGCCTTCAAACTGCAAATCAACCTCGAGGCATTTAGTTATTTTCTCAGGGAAACCAGGGTTAGCTGCAGGGTCAAAGGGGCTACTGATTTCAGAGATTATGTTCTGTTCAGTGGAGGCGTCCAAACCTGAATCAGCACCTTGTTCAAGGTGATGCCAGTCTTTCCATGGTGAAAGGTCACCCTGCAGTGACAGCTGAGAGCCACTGTAATGGCTCCGGTCCCCTGATATACAAACAAGACCATTACTTACACCACTGTCAATAGTCTCTGTGGTTTCAACTTCATTATGTTCCGCATAAGGTCGTTCCTGGCTCAGGGTTTGACTGGGGGGACTGGCGTACCAGGAGGATGCCATGTCTTCTTGCTTCCGTTGCCAAAGTTCCTGATCTGAGGAGGAGAGCAAGGAGCAGCCGTTGACTCTGCTGAAATACTGACTCTCAGAGAAGTCCTCGGAGTAAGACTGGCAAAGTTTGGAGCAGTCCGATTCAGACCGGCTGAGTTTGGGAGTGGAGTAGTCGCTCTGAGACAGCCATCCAGGTGTTATGTCGGAATAGTAGGACTTGCTTTGCTTGTCGTGGTCATCGTAGGCTGTGCTATCGGCATAATGCACAGAGTACGCAGCATCATCGGCCATCCTTCGGTGATCGTGAGACTTTTTCTTGTCTGATTTACTTTTTGGAGGTGGTTTGGACACAATTGCATATTTGTTCTTGTTTAATTCATCAAGCTCTTTGTCGCTTTCCATGGAGTCCCAGTCATCACTTTCAGCTTTGTCTTTGGCTGAGACCTTGATGTCCATGCTTTCGTACGTCTGAGAGAAAGCCATTGGCTTGTCTCTCTTTTCTTTCGAATCGTGTGCTAGACTATCTGTCGAAATGGATATCCCAGTCCCTTTTAGCTTATAACATTTTTTCAAAACTAAATCCCTGTCTTGGGGGCTTGAAAATATAACTACAATTGGTCGAGGTTTAGCATTGTAACATTCTCTTTGTTGGCCTAGTCGATGGGCCAGTTCAATTTTAAATGTCTTGCATGCTTCAGCAAAGCCCATTTTCTCTTTCAGGATCTGATAAATAAGGTCTTCCGTTTTTTCGTACTTCTCCTCAGGCACATTTAGAAATCTCAGAGTAGCTTTGTTGGTCTGTTGGCTAATCTGTCTGATGTAATCGTGGATGTCTCGAGTCTCGCGTCTGGACTGCACAAAACCCGAACGGAGCTGCTCGATTTCGCTCTGCACCACCTCCACGCTGCTGGAGATCTCGTCGATGGAGCTTTTGAGGGCGTTAACGTGCCCTCGCAGTTCTGAGAGCTCGGACTCGATCTGACTGATTCCCTGAAGTTCTTTAAAGATCATCTCCATCACGTCCTGAGTCTGACTGATGCATCCCGTCGAGCTGGATCCCGGCTCTAGGGTAGTGGTTTTCTGGTGTCGGCCAGCCCGGTCCAGAGATTTGCTTCTGATGCCAAGAGTCTTTCTCCAGTTGCTGGCCTCTGAGTCCGAGGACACACATTCTTGGCTCTTCTTCCATTTCCTCAGTTTTTTCAGAGCGCCCAATCGAAGGGTGTGGAGACTGCTGCGCTCTCCCCGCTCCCCCTCCGAGCTGCCATCGGAGGGCGCTAAACTAATCAAACTCTTCCTGTTCCGTCTTACTGGCATTGTATAAGCTTTTTGTTCATCAAATCTATGGACAAGTTTTGCCTCGTTTAGAGAGTCGGAGTAATCGCTATCAACTGACAAGACCTCATGAAACTCATTATTGTTCAGAAAGAGGGCAGTTTTTGGAAGTCCATTGGCAATTGCTACACGGTAACTGAAAGTTGGCGAGAGAGAAGAACAGTCATTTTTTCCGTCATCCTCCTCAAGGGATATATTGCGTGCCGACGAGCATTTGGAGATCTTTTTAACTGTGCTTTTCAGTGTGGTTGAGAACGTCGGGTTCCGCGCATCGGGGGACGTTTTGGGTTCTTTTTTGTTTTCGCTACGCTCTTTCTTCTTTGTGGTATTTACCAGTTTCTTTGTAAACATTCCTTTGCAAATCTTTACAATGTAAGACGATAGCTTCTTGAAATGGGCGGAAACCATGGAGGGCAATGTTTCAGCAGTTTTGCATGCCGGACGCAGTGAAGCAAAACTGGTCTCAAATTCAGCGAAGCACACAGACACTTAAGCACACAGCACACAGTCACTTAGAGTTTTGAAAGTCAGCCCTGAGGTATAATAGAGGGTCTAGAGAAGAAGTGACCTCAGATGCGGTTGTGCCGGGCAGAAATCATCACACATCCTCAGTGAGGGAAATATTCAAGGGTGTTCTTCAGAAAAGGCCTCATGTCTCTGAAAAAAGAAAAAGAAAAAAATATATTTTAAGTTAGGTTGCACTGAAGGTCAGCATGTAAAATACATAACTCTGAATGTTACACTGCACATACTGTATAATAAATCATTGAATAATTATTTGTACTAGAGCCCCAATTTCATAGTCCGTTTCTTATGAGGCTGTCAGATCCAGTTCAGCTGAGCTAGATGTGTCACATTTTGAGAGAATTGCGGAAAGCTTATTTTCACAGAAACTAGAGCAGAAAAGATTCCGGTGTTGCTTTGGAGATCCAATAAACCCTTAAACAGCCTGACATGAATAATTGTGTTTACATTATTTTACAAATCAATGCATTTCTAGCTTCAAAATGAGCATGGCAATATAATCATTAATCGAGTTACACCACCTTTGGAAATCTGGTACATGTAGTGTCCCATGATACAGACACACAACCTAATGATCACAGATGAATGGTGCAGTTCAAATGCACTAGAAAATACAATATGACCAAATTGACCAGAACAATATACTCAAGTGTAAAGGGCAAGACCCTGTTTGCTATGGAAAAAAGTGGAATATGTTTGAATATCAATAATTCAGATATGAATGGTTTTGTCTAGAAGCTCATACGTTATTCATAAATGGAGGTGAAAGGTGAGGAATACAGTCATACTGTATTACTGCATTAAAGGGCCTTGTTTGTATCTAATTAAATACGGTTCACACAGGGCCTAAAAATGTATAATGGCATAAGAAAGAGAGATGTGATATTCTGTGGGTGAAGGAAAGAAATACACTGCAAGTAGCTAATCAACCATATCACACACCAACCAACATCCTAGCATTGTGCTGAGTCACATTTTCTTCAAAAAAAGTCAAAAATATCTAGTTATACATGTGCATTTATAAACATATAGAAGTTCATTTAAATAGACTCACTATCTGTCATTCAGCTGCAATACAAACACTGTTCTCAGTTTAGTAGTAATTCCCCTATAATACAGAACAGAACAGGTGAGTAGCCTGTGTAACGTGTGTGTGTGTGTGTGTGTGTGTGTGTGTGTGTGTGTG